TAGAAAGGCAGCATATAAGTCTTAAACTAGAAAATTTACAAGTAAAAAGGAAAATCTACAGAGAATTTAGAAAAAAGTATAAGGTCTTAAAATCAAATATAGTTTAAAGTTCTAGAACAAAAGATAATATTGAGAAAAGATATAGAGTACAGAAAGCTCTAGATACTTTATTCAAAAATTAACTAAAGAATATGGATGAGAAATTATCTAAGAAAGTAGTGTTTCAGTACTAGAATTAGCAGATCATTTAGATGAAATAGTAGTAAAAGCTATAAATATAGATAAGAATATTATTACCTTAGCTAGGCAATGGTATACTGTATTAAAAGGGCTGCTTTTATAAAAAGAGTAAACAAAGTTAAAGAAGTCTTTGAAAAAGAGCAAGCATCAGCAATTATACAACTGAGAATTATAAACGAAGTAACAGAAGAGATAAACATAGGAATTGAGAAAGTGTCAATAATAGAAATAGAAGGTATGAGAGAAGTAGAATCAGATAAACTTACAAGACAGAGTATGTAAGATAAAGAAAAATTAGATAGTACAAATAATAAAGTAGAAAAAAATAAAGTACTAGAGATCATGGAAAACATACAACTTGTGGAAAACAGTATAGAAGTTGACTTATGCAAAAATGAAATAGAAAATAAACTAGAACAACTAGCTGAAATAAAAAAGCTAAGATGTAGCAGTGCATCTCTAGACTGTAGTATATAGGCATCTAATCCAGAAGCATGTAAAGATATAGGAGAGATCAAAGCTAAAGTAGTAGCAGTTAAGATTTTAGGAAATAATGCTAAACAAAAAGAAGAATCAATCAAGTAGTCACTTAGAGGAAATAAGCATATCAAAGCAATCCAAGAAAAGTTTACAAACAGGAACTAATAGTGTATTATATACTTTGATTGCAGAAAAGGATATGAAGAAGCTAAGTCAAGATTGGAAAAAAAGAAAGACAAATTTGACTAGCTAAATCTAATACTCGAGGAAGAAGTAGAAAAAGAAAGTTTAAAGAAAGAAAAGACTCTGCAAAACAAAAAGAAAGAAAAAGATACAAGAAAGATTCAAGCAAAAAAAGAGTTTGAAGAAATACAAAAGAAGAGGTCTATATTATATAATCAAACTGAAAAAAGTGAATGCTTAACAAGTAGTAAAAAGAGGAAGAAAACAATACCTAACCAAACTGAAGAAGAAAAACTAGTTTCAACAAAAGATAAAGGGAAAAAAAAAATGTACAAACAAGAAACTCTCTTAAATGGAAAAAAAGATTTAAATAAAAATAGCAATTTCACTAAAAAAAGAGAACTATATCTATACAGAGAAGAAACTATTACTATATAGAACATACCCTATTACATATCAAGATCACAAGTCTTCTTCACAATAAAACATTTAGGACAGGTTAAAAATATTGAGATGATTAGAGAAAATTATGGAAAAACAAGAGTAGAAGTTACCTTTGAAGAAGGAAGTAGTTTCGTACAAGGAATTGAAGCTTGGGTTATTTCTCTTACAAATGATCTCTTAGTATATATAATACTAGGACCAAACAGAAAAGAGATATTAGAGAATCGAAAACAGTTTGTAGCAAAGCTATTCAATATCCCACAAATGTAAATGAAGTTTTACTATTTAGACAACTAAAATATACTGGTGCAAATGCAGTACATGTTTTTAAAAATTCAAATGAGAACAACAAAGGTTATGCACTAGTATCTTTCAGAAACCAACAAGATATAGCTCAAGGAAAGAAATATTCTGTGAAATACTATAATACTAGCTAAACAAAACATATAATGCTAAAGAGAGATACAAGCAAAAACATAATATCTATAAGCCAAGTGCAAGAAGTTTCAAGAAGCAGGAACTTTCTCCTAATAGACCAACTGTTATTTATAGAAGTAGAAAGAAATCCTCAAAAGAAGAGAACAGGCTAGATATATGAAGCTAAAAAAGTGAGATAAAATCTATGCAGAAAAAAGAAAAATAGAGCAATACAAAGAAAATAAGTATAAAGTTTCTTTTAATAATATAGTATAATGTATTCAAGCTTTAGAAAAGAAATTAAATAGCTTTAATAATAATTGGAGTTTAGAGACTCCAAATCGCTCCTAAAAGTAGCTAAAGTTGAACAAACAAAAGCTCTAGTCAGTTAAGAAGAAAAACTTAAAAGACAGAACAGAGCAGAAATAAGTAAAAACCAAAATGAGGAAGAATATAAAAAAAACACAAGAAGAAGAGAAATGATAAAAGAAGGAAAAGATAATAGAGATAGAAGTAGAAAGCAAGAAGGTATAAAACTGAGCATGCATAATATCAATGGAATTAAAGGTGATAATACAAAAGTAGAGCTATTAGCAGAATATGATAAGTTAGAAGGTTACAATATTATTGAAATAGTAGAAACTAATATAAGGAAACAAGAAAGCAAGTGGATAAATATAAAAGAATATGGATACTCAAGCTTTTGAACAGAAACAGAAAAAGGAAAATACAAAGAGTCAGGAATCAGGCTTCTGGTTGATCAGAATTGGCTAAGAAATATAAGAGTCTGTAAAAGGTTTAATCTATATTTGCTCAAGGCTGAATTCTTCTTCAGAAGAATAGTCTTTCAAGTTTAGATAGTATATCTATTTTTTAAGAATGAAAAAGTAATGAGAAAAGTATGTAAAATACTAATAGAAGAAATTATCAAGAATAGAAAAAATACAGTATATATGATTCTAGGAGACATCAATATAGTATTAAATGAAAAACTAGATATAAGTAGTAGAGAAAGAAGAAATGCAGATACTGGTACAAGAATTACAAAATGGTTAAAGAATACTGATCACATAGAAACCTTCTAATTCTCTAACCCAGAACTAATTAAATATTCATGGATGTATTAACTAGAATAGATCATATTTGGACAATACAAGATATGAGAAGCTTCATTTTAAATAGTAATATAGAATTTATAGAGACAGTAACAGATAGTAATCATAGAATAGTCTAAGTACAATTAGATAGCGTAAGTATTTTAGAGAAGAATAAGCAAAGAAGCAAGAAAAAACAAAAAGAAACAAGAAAGTTATATCAATACCATAAGGCAACAGAAGAAGACTGGAATAACTATAGTCAAGAAGTAGAAAAGATTATCAGAAATACAGAAAAAAAAAAAGAAAAAGAAGAGACTAAGTAAAAACTGAGCCAGAAACAGATATTGATGAGGAATGGAAATTAATAGCTAAAGCAATACAAGTAGCAGCAAGTAAACATATTCTGTTAACAAAAATGCAAGATTCAAAAAATCAAATTAGAAAAGAAGCAATAAAATCTCTAATATATAGCAGAGCTAAAGTCCTAGAAAGAATATTTAAAAAAGGGTCTAAATACATAGGACAAAATATAAACAAGCTAGAGAGAGCAATTCTTAATACACGAATAGAGCATCTTAATACAGAATACAAGACAAACATACTACTATTACCAGAATTCTGAAACAGAGAATTCTGCATTGAAATCAAAGAGTGAGTAATATATTAAAAGAAAAAGTACAAAGAGAGTTGCAAGTTGTAAAAGAAAAAGAAATAAAGGAGAAAATTGAGGAAAGATTTGCACTAATGCCTAAAAGTCAAAAGCAAATGCTAAACAAGTTGCTCAAATATCCTTACAATAAGATTGTAGTTGATAGAGTATTAGTACAGAGCCAAAATAAGTTTGAAAGCAAAAAGTTGATTACAGAAAGCAAAGACGTCAAGAAAGAAGTAGAAAAATACTTCAAAGAGCAATTCAGAAAGTGAAACCATAAGTTCAAGCAACTAGATAATGAATGCGCAAATATATATAAAGAATAAGAAAGAATCAATGATGCTTGGTATGCAGAAATTATGAACAGAATAACAGAGAAAGAATGGTTAGAAGTTACAAGTTTACTAAAAGAAGATACAGCATCTGATATATTAGGAATCAGCTATAGACTTATCAAAAAAGTAAGTCCTAAGACAAAAGAATATTTAATAAACTTCGCAAACAAAATAGTTTACGAAGAAAAATTCTCTAAAAAATGAAAATTAGAGCAAATATATTTAATCTCTAAAAGTACAAATTAGAAATTTAATCTAGTAAGTATTAGACCAATAATGCTACTTAAGATATTTAGAAAACTCATAGTCAGAATTATTCAAAAAAAACTAAACAAAGTTTTCATCGAGAAGCAAATTTTAAAAGGAGCAAATTTCACAAGACTACCTAATGAAAGCACTATGGTACTAATACATGTCCTAAATAATGTTATTGAAGATACAATTCAAAGAGATAAAGAATTATAGATAGCATTTCAGAACATGCGAAAAGCTTTTGATTTAGTGAGCATTTACACTTTAGAGCTCTCTATGAGAAGAATCAAGCTTTCAGAAAATCTAATTACCTTTATTAAGTAATTATATCAAGATTGTGAAATAAGAGTAATAACAGACGAAGGCCCAACTAATTTTTTTATAACTAGTGATAGGATAGATTAAAGTGAAGTGATCTCTTTACTAATGTAGAAAATATTTTATGACATATTACTAGTAAGAATATAGCAGTTAGGAATCAGGTATCAAATGGAGCTACAGTAGCTAATAGATATTGAAAAGTGAACCTTCAAAACAGAAAAAGCTATAATTTCAGCATTAGCATATGCAGATGATACCATATGAGTAGCAGAATCTAAACTTGTATTACAAGAGATCATAAACATATCAAATAGCTTTTTTATATTAATTCGTGATCCGTATGCAGATCAGTGAATTTTAATATTAAAGTGCGGGGATAATTAACTTAAAGGTTTTGAATATGTATTAGAATCTACTAAAGTTCACTAGATATTTTTTTTTTTTTACATGCCCAAACACAAAGAATATACAATTTTATTACTTTCTCACGGTATATGGGATGAAAGCTTGCATTTTGGACCTTTTTGCCATAATTGGTGACTTCTCTAGCCCATTGATAAAGCAAATGAAATAATCTAGCTATACCCTATTCGATTATATTTCAAAACATTAGTCATATTAAAAGTGTGTGAATTTATTACTGAAGTAGTTCAATCTAATTCTGCTTTTGGTCCATGTCCCAGGTATATTTGTAAATGTGATGAGATTCAAAGTGATATATGCGAAACGGCAACAGTAGCTATTTCTTCTGTATATCATCAACTTTTCAAAATCAAGACAAAATTTTCAGGTCTGGAAGTTCTAGGATTTGATAAAACAATTATTACAGACAAATTATTATCAGATTTACCCTTTCGCCCTTATAATTTTCAACTTAGGATCCTTTGAATTTAGATAGTAAGAATTGGCTCTAATGAAATTACAACTAATTTAGCAGGCCCTGGATTTAAATCAGCCTTTATATATCAATATAATAAAAGTCGAGCTTTGTTTTTTCAAGAAATTGATAAAAATCACTGCAGAGTAACAATTTACTACGAATGCAATGCATGTATAAACTTTATTGAACAAAATCCAGATTTAGTTTGGTCAAAAATTGGAATTCTACAGCAATATAATGGAAATCAACTTTTTGAATTAACTAATCAATACACCAAAAACCTTATACAAGCAGCTCAAATCCCATGTTGTACTTTGAATGAATGGAATAACAAAGAAATAATGACTAATATTTACAATTACCACCTTAAACGTCATATAATGGTGAATATAAATTGGTATCAATTTTTTTGCAATTGGTTAGAACAACCAAATATAATTATTGAATTAAGGTCAGCTCTGCAGCTGATCTACCCAATAGAATATGAAATTGGAGATCGGGAATTTCGAGCCTGAAAAGCAATGCTAAAAAATGTTAGTTGTTCTGATATTACCTCATATAAAAAAGATCAGTCAAAAGTAAGTAGCTGTTTTAATAAATTTTACAATTTATATGTATACTTAATTGATGTGAATTGATTTCTATAGTTCGAGTTTTGGTCTCGGTCCATTACTCTGAATAGTGATAGAAGTTCTTTGTCTATATTATATGATATTGGATTTGTTACTTCAGCTCCCTTATACTCCTCTATGAATGCTTTTTGGAATTCTTTTCACAATTCTTTGGAAATTAATAAATGCGGCATAGATGGGTGTCAACGTGTATTATCTATAATTGCTAATGATTTCAACTATGAAGTTATTAAAAAAAACTTAGGCATAAGTAGCCTGTTTGAACTTATTACTACTATACCAATTTCTACTTCTCTTTTTAAGCTTACTATTTTTTTTAGGTTTCGAATGATTTAATTTGTGCTGCACGAAAGCATGCACATATTTATGGGCCTGGAGGATTAGTTACTAACAAACCTGTAATTAGACATAAAAAAATGTTATCAGAAAAAAATGTACAATTACAATCTTTTTTAATGGACAAAGCTAATGTCATAATGAGCTCATATAAAACTGACCCTATTACAAATGAACCAGTATATTACCTGAAAAATTCAAAAGATGTACTGTGGAACAAATTTCATGAAGAATACCTGAATAGAATGCGCTGTACTAGTTTTTACACTAGGTTGGAGGGAAATAAATACATATATCGAGAAGATTTGAGTAGATTATACCATACGTGTTCACAATATAGTTACGAAATATTTTTAGATATTATCTCACTAATTCAAAAACATGTAGTAGAACATGTAATTTAGGTAATTAAGTCTGGTAGTATTATTAATTTTCTGGAAAAAAATTACAGTGAGATTCCCAAGATTATAGAATACAGATAGCTCGAAGGGTTATCTGCATTATATGATTAAGCATAGAAATTCAACTTATATAGTGTGGAATCCTGATTGGCCAATATTGAAACTTGGGGATGTCGATGTTCCAAGATACTATCAATATCCCTAACTCACGTTGTTTATGCCTACTAATTTTTACAGAACAATCCCAAAAATTCCTAGTCAGATTTAGGTCGGCATTTAGCTCTAGTGGTTTGTAGATTTTATAACAAAATTATTAGCTGCGTACTTTTCACTTAATGAACGGCTACGATTTCATTAGTAAAAATTTAGTGATCCTGGGCAAATTTGATCATTTCTGGCCCTGCCAACTAGGATTTTGATGCATTCCAACCAGGAATTTCCTGTATGAATTCATGCCTACCTTTATTATAATTTTTCATATGATTATTTGTAACTGGGAAATTATAATAATAGGGTATTAAAATAAATATTACATCATAGATAATAGCTAATACATACCATATTTGTTATTACAGAGACAATTATCGTTAGAATGTGAAAAATTGAAGTATTTTTTCAAATAGGATTATGAACAACATTTCCATATTACTCCACAAGGAATGATATTCCATGATACTTGCATTAATCATTGTCTTTTATATGCATTTGGACAGTGTGACGAACCCCATACTCAAACTTGTAATAACTGTTATACTTTTTTTCAATTTTTTGATATGTTATATAATAATATTAGTGTTTCAATTTACGAAGAGTTAGATGATCTGTACAATCATTTGCTCTATTACTTGGCTCATCAGACAAGAAAGGCGTATTTAAACGCTCAATTGAATGCAAACTTGTTAAATCTGAATGAAAAAACCGCTTTAATACTAGTTAACTACAAAATAAAAATACTACCTAAAATAGTACGTGAAACTAAACAAGATTGGTTTGGCAAAAAAGGCTAGTCTCTTCACTCAGTCCTTGTATATACTACACAATCCAACTCAACAAAATTATGAATTCAAGCATTTGATCATTGGTCTATAGATTTACGTCAAGATTCGTAGTTCACAGCATCTTCACTTCATGCAGTAATTAAAATATTAGATCCAAAACCTGAATCAGTGATAATAATGTCAGATAACAGGTGTCATTATCATAATGCTGATCTAATGATGATAATGGGATATTAGCTGATATAGTATGGAATTAATATAAGCAGATGGATCTTTTTGGAAGCAGGAGAAGCGAAAACTACAATTAATTCTCATCATGCACAGGTACGATAACTGCTAGTAAATTATTCATATTACCTACACTCGTATATTGACTTTTATTTTTTTTTTTATTACAACGAATCAGATATTACATGCAATCAATCGATATATTCGTTTAGACTTTGATGTAACAGTAGGACAAGATATTAAGAATGTGATCAAAGGAATTAAAAGGACTTTTGTTGCAAATCTGAATCCTATTCAGAACAGAGGTAGTGGTAATAATACATTATCTGGAAATTCTAACTAGTTTGAGTGGCAATAGCCAACAACGGGCAAATTTTCCAGATATATTAAAGCATGAGATATTCCTAGTATAGGTGAATGGAAAATTTTTACTATAGCAGAATTAGATAAATTTCGCAAAAAAGATATTAATAAGCCTACACCACAAGTATCGATACATACTACACCTTCATCAGAATAGGAAATGCTAATGCCAAATTCATCACATATGTCCTTAATACTGTTCAAATTTATTATATTCAGTAATAACTAGGCTTTTTTATTGTCAAAATCTTATTCCGAGTCATCTTACAAGAGAAAGTCTAGTGAAAGAATTAGAAAAACGAAACTTTAGATTTAATAATAAAGAAAATAAAGATCAATTGATAAATTTACTAGAAAACCAATTGGTGGAAGATATGAAGAAGGCAAAAATAGGTATATCGTTGTCAACATAGATTTGAACATGATAAATAATTGAATTATTGTTTTCTATAGCTCATAACCAAACAAATAGTATATCTAACAAAGAGAATTGTCATATTTTCGAAGTGGATAAGTTTCTTCTAAATTTGAGTTAGGCTCTTAAGGCAAATCAAAAGTTTGAACAAAAGAGCACAGGAAAGCGAATATCACCTAAAATTAGAGCTCTATTAGAAGGGTATTTCTTAGCAGGAAATATAAATAAAAGCGATAGATATACGGCACAAGATATGCATGATGAACTTGTTTAACATGCACAAGAAGGTGAAATTAAAGTAGAAGAAGTACCTAAAGTTACCATGATTCAAAATTGAATTGGTTGTTATGCACGAGAACATAAGCAAGAGGCTGCGGCAAAGAAATCAAATTAACTAAAATAATGAAATTTTAAAATGTAATGTTTTAAAATTATAATTTTATATGTAGTTTTTTTGCCAGAAATTTGGCTTTGGAGCTCAATAACTAGTAAAACTCACAATAAAATATAATATGCGAGTTAAAAAAAGAATTTTTTGGTATTATATCACAGTTTCTGTTATATAATATAACAACAAAAGTCGTGTTCTTCTAATGTTACTTAATTGCTAAAAAAGACCGATTACTAGCTTTTTCTTATTAATTCGTGAAATTTCTCCTCGCATGATCTTAATAATTTTCACTGATTTGCATATGGATCACGAATTAAATGATATTAAGATAAATAGAGCAAAATCAGAAGCAATAGCTTGGAGACCTCATAAAAAAGAAAAAGAGAAAGAATATATTCAAATTGGAACATCACTAAGTCTAGTTAAAGTTAAGGAACTAGAAGAAAGTACAAGGTTCCTTGGTATTTGGATAAGCTTGAAAAAACAAGAGAAAACAAGTATTCTACATTGCAAAAAAGAAGTAGGAAAGCTAACATGTATATAAAGGTACAAAAAACTCTTAGCTAGCTAGATAATATATATAAACAATATAGTATTGCTTCCAAAGTTTGAATATCTGTTAGCAAATATATGCTTAAAGAAAAAATCATGTGATACTATACACCAGTCTATGCTTAGACTAATTAAATGAAAATTGAAACTTCTATCTACAAGTACAAATATAATTCTCTGACATAAAGAAATATTTGGAGTAGTAAGCTTATAGCAAAAACATATAGAGTATTATATATCAGAACTCTTTATAAGAATGAATACAAACAGTATTGTAGGTATAACTACTCTAATAAGACTGAAGTAATTATAACTAGATATGAATATGCCAGAATATATCCTTATTGCAGAAAATATAAATTGAAAAAAACTAAACATAGAAATCTAGGAGCTTCAATAATGCAATATGCAAAAAGGTTTGGTATAAGTATCACAAAAAATGAATTTACTGAAAGTTAGAACTTCACAAAAATATAAGAAGAAAAAAGTTGTCTTATTAGTAGTATCCTTAACAAATGCAACATAAAAGAAGCACAGGAAAGTATAACTAGGCTCAACTTATAGCATATAAACTAGCTGTTAGACAACGAACAGGAAAAAATAATCACTTGGAGACAACTTAAAGTGAGAAAAGGAAAGAGATATATTAGAAGAAAAGCAAAGTGGTTTCAAGCTCTAGACAATGAAATTCTAGCAGATAAGAGTTCAAGAGAAGTAACTGAAGAGTACCAAAAAAGAGGAGGATTTCAAGTACAAGAAATTGAAAAGAAAATTTCATAAGATAAGAAGAAAAAAGAATGAGTACTCATAAAAGGTAAAGAAAATAAGAAAAGTAAAATAGGTCATATTATCAGAAATGAAAAGAAAATAGTAGAAGTAGAAATTTAGGAAAAAGACCAAGAAAATTTGTGTAAAGAACTGGGTCAACAAAAAGTATATAATAAAGAAACCAAACTTAAGAAAAATAGACAAAGACAAAGGATTGCGTTATAAGAAGTTTACAATATCTCAAGCTTTATACAGAAGAAAGATAATGAACTAGAAGTAGTATTTAATAAAAAGTATCTAAGAAAAATAGAAAAAGAAAACCAAAAAAGCAAAGTAGGAGATTTTAAAAAGTTTAAGAATCAAATTACATCACAACTCTCTCCGTAGATCATTTGGTCACAAATTCGAGCTAAAGGTTTTCACATAGAAAAAACACTAAACTCACTAAATAATACCTCCTAGCATATTAAAAAAAAAGACTCTAAAAAGAGAATTACATATAAAAAAGAAGGAAAATAGAAAAATTATAATACAAAAGAGATTCAGAAAAATTTTTTAGACAAAATTTTTGTTAAAAATTGGAAATTGCAAAATATCCTGAATTGCAGATTAGTATACATAATACAAACACTTGCAAAATAGGTAAACAAACAAACATATTACTAATCTATATATCATATGTCAAATAGCATAGACGAATCATACAAGACCAAAACTGAACAGTTCACAGGCAATTTGGATAAACTCCCAAGAAAGTTCAAAAAAAAACTAAGTCACTTCTAGAAATAATACTTAGTAAACTAAACGAAAGAAAAAAGAATCTAAAAGTATGTGAAACAGAGCAAAAGTAACAAGATTGGTTGAAATAGTAACAAAAGAATATGGCAAAGAAATAATAGCAGAGGGAAACGATGCAGTTATGGGTCTAGAAGATTATGTAGATAAAATGATTGCAGAAATTTTAGAAGTAGAAAGTAATATAGTAACAGTAGTGAGAAAATAGAGGAAAGTAATAGAGAGAGTAGCAATGACTGAAGGAATTGACAGGATTAAAGTAGTGCTAGGGCAAATAACTCAGAATACAATAGTAAAAAGAGAAGAACTAATAGTACAAGAGAGTAAGAGCAAATCAGATATAGAAATGACAGACCCAGCAAGTTCTTTAAAAATAGTAGATAGCATAGAAGAAGAACAAGATATACTAGAGAAGCAACTCCTAGTGAACAGAAGAAGTAAAGAGAGCTATACCTTAATAGAAGATATTAAAAAAATCCAAGACGAAGAAATTTCTAAACCAAATTCAAACCTTTATTTGAATATTATAGAAGAATCAGAAGAGGATTTGATGCTAGCGGAGTCTGACTCCTCCCTTGAAAAAAGCATCTAGACACCAAGTAAAGATAGATATGAAGGAGAAAAGATTATAAGAGCTAAGGTAGCAGCTATAAAAGTACTTAGAAATAGTAAAGCTATAGAGAAAAGTCCTTAAGGTAGTCAATAGAAAGAAATATTTACCTCAAAAAAATATCAGAAAAATTTGAACAAGGTAACTTGTAGTGCACATTAATCTTTGACTATGAGAAAGACTATAAGGAAGCTAAGAAGAATTTAGAAAACAAAAAAGAAGAGTACGAGCAAGCTAAACTAATCTGTGAAGATAATATACAA